CTTTTGATTCTAATCTATCTCTCCACCAATTTTCAACCATATCCCTTACAGCCGTTGTTGAGTTAAAAATAGTGTAACTAACACGACTTTCTTTTATATATAAAAATATGTTTCGCAGTGAATTCGTGATAACTCCCCAATTATCACATATACAGGGTGACTGGTGAATTACTATCAATATTTAAGGAGCATACTCGGTACATGATTCTCATTCGAATTATGTAAAAAAAATAGGTACTTAATTTTTGACCAAATTTCCGTATAAATAAATAAAGTGTGTACACGTTCCAAGTGTTCCAAGTGTGGACGCGTGCGGCGGCGTGCTGATACAACACTACGCCGCCGCCGCGTCTGTGTGAGTGTATGTGTATACCTAATCTGTAGGGTGTTCACACGATGCGTAATTAATTACATAACTTTTGGTTAACTTTACTTAGAAGAGTATTAATATTTATGTTATATTAATTTTTATTTTGTCATATATGATCGTCAAATATCACGTCCTCAAGTATCGATAGTAATTCACCAGTCACCCTGTATATTACATCTTTATAAATTTTGAAAATCCCAATTAAAAATATCTTTAAATCCTAGCTTTAAAAATTAAGCTAAATATTTTTATGTACTGATTATTTATTAATTGTAAAAAAAATTACCAACGTCTATCCAAATAACTTCTCTAAAATTAAACTTCCAAATATATTCTACATTTTCTTACTATTGAAGTTCATAGTTTTATTGTTAATGTTCATTATCATTATTATGTATATATCATTTATAACCATATGGCTATATAATTCGTATAATATTGAGAGATCAACAAACATAAAATAATGGAACAAATTCTTTCATAATAACCAGATACATATGACCGAGTTATTTAACGAGTCTGCTTTATTACGCGTTACAAATTTATATTATTATTTAACGACTTGGTTAACGTCTTAGTATAGTGCTTTTGTTATGTAAAAAATATATAAAGCTGTCTGGAATGCATAAATTTTGTACTATTAACGTTTTAGCCGATATATGTTTTGGAGGGTAGTTAAACAATATACGTAATAATCTGATAATATAAGAATTACTTTAAAAATACTGTCTCTTGAGGTCAGATGATGACAGAGAAGAAAGAATTATATATTTTTTTCCTCATATGTAAACGAATTGGACAAACAATACCAAAATATCTCTCACTCTCTCTCTCTCTCTCTTTCACTCACTTCACGACAAACAGAGAAGGATATACCAAAATATTCCACACTGTGTCTCTTTTACTCATTTGACGACAAATAGATGAAGCACTATCAAAATATGTCTCATTCTGTCGCTTCTACTCACAACATCACAAAACAGAGATGGCTTTACCAATATTCACCTAATTCTGTCTCTTTCACTCACTAAACGACAAACAGAGAAAGCAATACAAAATTTCACCTTATTCTGTCTTTTCCCCTCACTAAAAAACAAACAGAGAAAGCAATACCAAAATTCAGCTAATTCTGTCTCTTTCACTCACTAAACAACAAACACAGCAATACCAAAAATTGACCTAATTCTGTCTCTTTCACTCACTTAACAACAAACAGAGAAAGCAATATCAAAATACACCTAATTCTGTCTCTTCCACTCACTAAACAACAAACAGAGAAAACAATACCAAAGTAGACCCATACTGTCTTTTCCACTCACTAAGGAACGAACAGAGAAAGCATTACAAAGTTTGACTCATTCCGTCTCTTTCACTCACGCCACGACAAAAAGAGAAGGCAATATATATCCATCCTAATACACATAACCAAAATTCCAGAAACTTCTCCCTCTGTTCGTGCTGGCAGCGTCTACCCTAGCTTTCGACTACGGTTACAATAGTCATGAGGGCTATCAAATACAAGAGGAGTCTATAGAGGATCATCACGGGGAATACGATGTTGACTATCACGTTAGTATATAGAGATCTAAGATTTACACGAGTTATATTCATTTAAATGAAACTAATATTATTCAGATATATTATCCGACTTTATTTTTGTAAAAAACTACAGACATTCACATCTCATCTGCCCATGATCACGGTTGCCGTAAAGTAACCGTAAAACGTTGGGAATATGTAGTTTATAATCCAAAAAATATTTGTTTCATTGAAATGTTAGTATATTTTAAGGTCTGATAACATAAATTTAATAGTCACATTATAGTATACTATTGATTAACTGTATAGTAACAGTATATAGCTGGTTTAGAAAATACTGGCCCATGTTACAAAAGACTATGAGCTCTTGTATAAAAGTTCTCAAATCTTGGTTAAAACTAAATCACCAGATAAATTAACATACTGTTAATTTTAAATTCAACTTAATATACCAACCTTCTTAATGAAAAGAAGGACACCTTGAACAATATTATATTATATACATGTTGATACATAACAAATCAACCAAAATGTTTTTGTTTTAAATACATATACATAAGATATGGCGTTTCAAACACAGCTTAAATATAGATACAGAAGCAAAATATATTAAAACCCCAATAGCAACATGAGAAAAATGATAATATATATTTAATAAAATTAATAAATTTTCTTTTTAAAAATAACCATGAATATAGTATTTAGCATGACTATCAAATACTATGGAAATAAATATCTAAACTACTGTACTTAAAATTTATTAACAGCGCCATCTATTGGCCGCATATCGAACTATGATTAATTTAATATAACATCATATTTCTTTCTTTAGGCACATCCGAAATACTCATTCGACTACTCCGTAAAGGATCCTCACACTGGCGACGATAAAGAACATTGGGAAACAAGAGACGGTGACAAAGTTAAAGGTATTATAAATTATTAATATATGTATCCCTACTAATATTATAAATGCGAAAGTTACTCTATATCTGTCTGTTACGCTTTCACGCCTAAACCACTGAACTGATTTTAATGAAATTTGGTACAGCGATAGAGTTGACCTTCAGAAAGAATATAGGATAGTTTTTATCACAGAATTTTGAAAAGTTCTCTTGGAAACGCGATATAACCGAACTCCACGCGGGCGAATCTGCGGGCGGAAAGCTAGTTATATATAAAATGTTTACAATTATAATTGTATAATCCAACCTCATTAAAAATTATATAAAAGAGCAAATGTATTTGAAATGTAATATAGATTCCATAGTGTCATTGAATAAGAAAAATGTATACAGGGTGACTGGTGAATTACTATCGATATTTGAGGACGTGATATTTGACGATCATATATGACAAAATAAAAATTAATATAACATAAATATTAATAAACTTCTAAGTAAAGTTAACCAAAAGTTATGTAATTAATTACACATCGTGTGAACACCCTACAGATTAGGTATACACTGACACTCGCACATACGCGTGTCGTGACGTAGTGTTGTATCAGCACGCCGCCGCACGCGTCCACACTTGAACACTTGGAACGTGTCAACACTTTATTTATTTATACGGAAATTTTGTCAAAAATTTAGTGCCTATTTTTTTTACATAATTCGAATGAGAATCATGTACCGAGTATTCTCCTTAAATATTGATAGTAATTCACCAGTCACCCTGTATACTTATGAATACTTTCAATGATTGCCTTAAAACATATTTTTATGTCTATACATATCTATAAAAATACAAAATTCAAAAAAGGCTTTTAAACGAAGTTTAGAAGTAATTAATACTTATTATAAATTGTTCTATTTGTTTACTTATACATATATAAGATTGCTAACTATGTTATTAAGAGGAATTAATTAGGTTGGATACAATATTGTTTAATTCAAAAGCTATTAAAATACCTCTACCACTAGTTCCCATTTCGAATTGATCACATTAGTTTGTCGATTTTCATTCATATATCTACACTCTACATTAATACTACCATATGTAAAGTAAATTTATGTGTGATTAGTGACTATCAAACTCATAGTAGGGGAAAAAATTATATCATATTTGATTATTAATTTTTCTCATACAAATTCCAGGACAATACACACTTCTAGAAACCGATGGTACAAAACGTGTTGTAGAATACGAAGCAGATGATAAACATGGTTTCAACGCTGTAGTACATAAGATAGGTACGCCAAAACATGAATATAAAGCTTCCTCAGAAGAAAAAGGTTATGTACAACAAGTATATAATTACCAAGAGGCTTCAGAGGAGTATAAACCTGTTTACGAAGGTTATAATAATGAACATCAACAATTAGAACAAGGTTTTGTACCTATAGCTGGCAACTATGAACATTAAAACAAAAAAGATCCTATAAAAATTCATATATGGCAATACTGATATATGTCATATCTCTATATTTAAATCTAATTAATGTTATCAAAAAATATCTTATCCCTTGTTAATTAGTTTTTAAGTTTTGCTCAAATAATTCTAAGATGTTGTATTTTTCTGTTTTCATAGTTGAATTTCTTGTGTATTACTTATATTTATTTTTGGATGCTTTAATATAGAACATTTTATTCTTTCATTTGAAGACTGTAATATTGTGTTGTTAGATTTGTACAAAAAATTTATATGTAATATACTTTGTGTCAATACATGTATGTTTTATTTATAAAACTAATATATACGGTAATATTTTAAATTCAAATTATAAAACTTGAGAAATCAGTAACATACATTTATAAAAGAGTCAAATGAACCAACTGTCAGCGAAATCTATCGTATTTGAAGATTTCAATACAAATTTACATAAATACATTCATTCAATCTATATTTTATTTATATAGATACTATAAATACTATTAATTATCAACTTATCCTACTAATATTATAATTTCGAAAGTTTGTGAATGTGTGTATGTTTGTTACTTCTTCACGCTCAATCGGCTGAAGCGATTTTGATAAAATTTTGTATACAGGAAACTGACGTCCAGGAATAAGACATAGGCTATTTTACATCCCGGAAATCGGAGGTAACACCGCGGGGCGCAGCTAGTATATATATGTATATGTTACCTCTGTGCCAAAGCTAGTTTCAGCCTGTCGTTTTCATATCTTAGTTGTGTGTCGTCTACGTCGGTAGTTGTGGCAGCAGCGGCGGGTGGGCGAGGCGAACGTCCTACTGTCGCGTAGCCACCCTGATACATATATTATATATATTAGTATACACATTATATATATTAGTTTAGATCAGTGTTTTTCAATCTGTGGGTCGCGACCCCTAGGGGTGGGGGCGGAGTTATCGACAAAAAGAAAAGGGTAAAGTTCTACACTACAATAAAAACTAAATCTCAATGAGAAGGCCCCCCTGGTCTTATATGTAAGTATAACTAGTCACTGTCTCACTACTACCCCGCCTTGAGCGAAACGTCCCCGTTCTGCTCCGCGCTAGTCGTTAGACTGCCGAGCGCATGCCGCCCCTCCAGTGGGGTACGTGAGACAGTGTATTATATCTATTGTATAGATATAAACACTACAATAATGTTATAGTAATAATTATAGTAGTAATAGTATTGTTTAACCTGTAGTGATGATGAGACAGAGTGAGCTCGTTGATGTACCATCATCTCATCGTTTTCCACCTTCGGCTGTAACAAAAGAAGCACAGTTAAAAATAAATATAGATAAACATATAGATATAAGAATTAATATAGTTTTGTAAGAATATATGCAGATTAAAAATTATATAAAGTCCTCACACACACAAACATACTTTATTTCATACATTATATCTAGTATCTTCTTCCTTCCAACACCTTATTACTCAATACATTTCTGTTTCACATATGTGTTTATTTATTATATATATACTAGAGGACCCGGCGAACTTCGTATCGCCCTATAATCAAGAAATATCTGTTACGTTTGTTTATTTATATTTTTGGAGTTTACCTATTAAAGCCATAAATCTCCGTGTTTTGAAGTGCGACAGAGTGATTGACATATTGGTTAGTTGTCAAATCTAATGTCCAAAAAAACGTTTGTATCCACAACTACTAATAAGTTAAAAAGTCCAGTCGTTTGAGAGAACTTCAGTGACATACACTCACAGAAGAATTATATATATAAAGATATCTCACACATATAGCAACTCATCCCTTATTATCTGTGCCATACACAAATATACATGATTATTATAAATAACAAAGTTTGTAACCAAATTTGGATGGAATTTGTTTTTTAAACTTTCATTCAAAACCATTACAATGGGTTTTAGTAAGACTTTTGAATTATGTATAATTCAGATTATAATAACATATAGACCTTATTGAGAATCAAAATGTTGTAACTTATTTGACATCTTGTAATCACTACAAAAAACTTTCATTCATTTATGTTCATTGACAAATCAATAGATGTTGCTGAAAGTTGAATTCCATATATATTATTTAAACACTAAAAAACATTTCTCTGCATCCAATCCTAAACTATGCAAATATAATCTCAACTAATATGTGAAACATTACTTTTACCCTTAAACCCCTTATATGTATATCTCAAGATATATTTAATCAGTCTTGTTTAACAAAGCATTCACACTTTATAAATTGAATACATATATAAACCCTGCCATAATTACGAATTACAGTTAGTAATTATTAAAATATGGTAATAAATATATCTTTCTCTTTCACACCAAGCAACCTTCCCTATCTAAAATACTATCCTATACAATACCTATATATACTCTGCTATAAGTACATGTTATTGTAATTCTATGGTGATAAATATATCATCTAGTTCTTTCTCTTTCACACTAAGCAACCATCTCTGTCTAAACTATTACTTTCTCTCTAGTATACGTCTTTGTATGTCTATCTCTCTCTCTTTCACACTAAGCAACTACCTCTGTCTACCTCTAAACTATTACTTTATCTCTAGTATATGTCTTTGTATGTCTATCTCTCTCTCACACACTAAGCTTCTACCTCTGTCTACCTCTAAACTACTACTTTCTCTCTAGTATATGTCTGTCTCTCTCTCTCGCTACCGCTGCCTATCTCTATCCCTCTCACTCCCCCACCTGTGCCGGAGACAGCGCCGGTGGTTCATCAGCCGCTGCTCGAGCTGCCAGTAGCGGACTGGCTGTCGCAGAGGCAACTGGTGTCGCTGCGCCTGATCCATTAGTTGCTTTAGTTGCAGCGCATTGCTGTGCTTGAATCGCTTCTTTTACCTCTTGGAACTTTTCTATGAACTGAATAGAATATTAACTTTAATTAATTGTTGATGAAGGAATTGTTATATGAATGAATGAATACAATTATAATTTTGCTTGGATAATACATTTGTCATCTAAGCTTATATTTGTAGTTACTACCAGTTGAGATGATTATCAAGCTCAGTTGTTATAGTAAAAAACATTCAAATGTATGTATTGTTGATTGAAGGAAGTACTATATGGATGAATGTAATCATTAGTTTCATATACTATTTTTCTGGGATAATACAGGGTGACTGGTGAATTACTATCGATATTTGAGGACGTGATATTTGACGATCATATATGACAAAATAAAAATTAATATAACATAAATATTAATAAACTTCTAAGTAAAGTTAACCAAAAGTTATGTAATTAATTACGCATCGTGTGAACACCCTACTGATTAGGTATACATACGCACACACACACACGCGTCGGCGGCGTGGTGTTGTATCAGCACGCCGCCGCACGCGTCCACACTTGGAACACTTGGAACGTGTCAACACTTTATTTATTTATACGGATATTTTGTCAAAAATTAATTGCCTATTTTTTTTACATAATTCAAATGAGAATAATGTACCGAGTATTCTCCTTAAATATTGATAGTAATTCACCAGTCACCCTGTATATTTGTTATACATATAAGCCTCTATTTTTCGTTAGCATCAGTTGAGAGAAAAATCAGTAATCAAAAATACAAATTAATGTATGTATATGTATGTAGAAATATAAGATAAAAATGGATAAATGGATGGGCCATAATTCAAGGCATGAAGTTCTTTTAAACTGAATAATAGTTGAAATCGGATATAATTAGTCCAAGGACCAAATTACAACACCAGAATAATAATTAATTCGTTTTCACAAATTAATTATCCAAAGAGTCAAGGTTAACAGGCTACGTACAACTAGTGCTCCGCGCCACGTCAGAGCCAAGACTCCCGTAGAATAATCGTGAACGTCTTTTATACAGCTAGTAGTGGGGAGAGTGGGGCATCGAATCACGCGCTCGGTGGCGTGATCGGTGCACGTGTTGGTTATAGTTATGTTTAGTTGGCGCGCTAGTGCCGACATGTATATATAAATATATAACCAAATATCAAATTTTAACAAAGAACTATTATGATAAGTCATGTATAGTTTTATCACTGAAGTTAATGGATTTAGTCAAATATATACATAATATTTGGACACAAAGACTTACATTCAACATTATTACTATCAATTATTCATATAAAATAATAATTATAACAAATATAAAATTTCCTTGTTCAAATGTACTTCAGATAGAAATGAAGTCCCAAACAGATTTAATTATGATTAACCCTCTCATAAAATTATCTAAATATAAATTTATGAAAGTCTTTGTTTTATAGAAAGATAGAATCTTTCTTTGCAAAGTGAAGAAAATTCTTATCACTTAATGAGACATCCTAAAAGACTTTCATCCTACATTTGATAAAAGCAAAACCCTTTAAAGATATCAAGAATTTAATATGAATTTAGTAAAATTATTATGATTAGGAACTTATATGTAAGCCTTGTGTGATATTTTATTCTTTTAAACCCCTGTATACATTAATATAAAGTATGATTCTTAATAATTTTATTACTTATGTTGGCACAATGTATTTGGTACACATATAGTATACACATATATTATATAATATACACATATATGTATACACATCCTAATCATATTAAAAATATGTGATTCTGATGTACGGTTGTTCGTTCTTGTTTCACGTAAAATATACTTAACTAATTTTGTTAAAAATTTTCAATAGTATAGTTCAAACATAAGAATATCGTATACCTATAATTTACCCTTGCATTCTGAGTATATTACATGGGAACACATCATAACAATTATATTTTGTATGACGTCACGGGTGTGATTATGCGTGTGTGTTTGCATACAGCCTTACGCGTGTGTGTATAATCGTACGTATATATGAGTGTTCGTGTGTGTGTGTGTGGTTACTTGTGTGTGAGTGTACGTGTGTGTGTGTATATATATATCTTACTTTTCCTAACTCCGCCTCCGATGCAAACCCCAGCCCATATACAGTATTTGCTCGCACGTCGCTCCACTGTCCAAACTTCTGGGAGGTCTTAGTGAAGGTCATGTTGGCTGTGATCGTGCTGTTTATCACCGCCTGGAAAAAACATCATCATCATCACCGAACAATTAACATCACAAATTCATCCCTATGTTGAATCTTTATTATTCTACCGAGTCGCTAATAGAGTTAATCTTTTTTATAAACTACTAGCTTTCCGCCCGCAGCTTCGCCCGCGTGGAGTTCGGTTATATCGCGTTTACAAGAGAACCATTCAAAAGTCTGGAATAAAAACTATCCTATGTTCTTTCTCAAGATCAATACTATCTCTGTACCAAATTTCATTGAAATCAGTACAGTGGTTTAGGCGTGAAAGCGAAACAGACAGACAGAGTTACTTTCGCATTTATAATATTAGTAGGGATTAATGATTATAGTCACAGTAGAAAACTTAATTATATATTTCTAAGAAGTAATTTTAATCTTCAATTAGGAAGTGAGTAAATATTTACACACATACGCTTTCATATATTTAGAAAAGGTACGAATTAATCTCTCTAAGGAAGACACACAAAAAAGGCGTTCGTAATCTTAAAATATCAAAGAGTATTTACAAATTACTTCTCGCGAAATTTCCTTTTGATGGAAAAGTCGAGATTTTTCGACATAAATATTTTAATTTAACCGTCAAACATAAAAGTAGCTTCAAATCTGTAAAACGAGTATTTTAAAGCTGTACTAGCATTTTATGAAAATTTCAAGCAAGCAAAATTTCAGACATACGATTGTAGGCTATACATTCGCTCTGACTTTGTCCGTCTACTTTTAGGATAATTTATAAATTATATATATGTTAAAAATTATTAAGTACGTAAGAAATAAAAACTATTACAATAATATATGTACTCGTTACTTGACGTCAGCACACACTATGATTTCATTTAATACTAAAGAAGCAATCGTCATAGAAAACAAATTTTTAATAAGCCAATTTATACAAATGATTAATCTACTTTAAGTGCAGCTTTATTTTAATCTACTAGTATTTTTTTAGTCTAATTATAAACCAGGGTAGGTTTTTTTCCACAATAGTAAACTAGCACTACCTACACAGTACCTATTGTGTACCTACTTGCATTAATCATCCTAATTGAGTATTAAAATGGTATCTCAAATGTTGGTACATATATTTGTTATCTTTCTTTATAATGAATGATTCACTATGATGATAATCCATCTCTTATGTCTGTTTATATTCATTTGGAATTGTTTACATTTCCTACAACTTACGTAAAAATCAGAGCTCACACTAAAAGTGAAGTGAGTACAATTTTTATTTACCTTAGCACCTGGTACCTTAAAATTTATATACGGTAGCTGATATATTTACGTTTACTGTACACACTAATACTAACCCATAATATGTTTTGTCGACAAAAAATAACTTCTGGGACCATTTGATCTTGAACTAAGAATAATAAGCTTACGTAATAAAAACTTCGTCACAGTGTGTGAGGTATATACAGGGTGACTGGTGAATTACTATCGATATTTGAGGACGTGATATTTGACGATCATATATGACAAAATAAAAATTAATATAACATAAATATTAATAAACTACTAAGTAAAGTTAACCAAAAGTTATGTAATTAATTACGCATCGTGTGAGCACCCTACAGATTAGGTATACACTCACACTCACACATACGCGTGTCGTGACGTAGTGTTGTATCAGCACGCCGCCGCACGCGTCCACACTTTAACACTTGGAACGTGTCAACACTTTATTTATTTATACGGAAATTTTGTCAAAAATTAAGTGCCTATTTTTTTTACATAATTCGAATGAGAATCATGTACCGAGTATTCTCCTTAAATATTGATAGTAATTCAACAGTCACCCTGTATAAGTATAATTAGTTTATTGATAGACCTATCTGTGGAACTTAATTTGTTTAAGATAACTAACGTCCTAATATAAACTATCATAAAATCTCAACGCTTTCAAATCTATGAAATCCAACAGAAACTAAAAAACACAATATCACTATCTATTGAAAATTTTCTCTTAGATTTAATATATAACTAGAGAAACTGTTGGGATAATACGAAAAATATACTATTCATCGTACAACATCAATAAAAGAGCTAGTTGCAAAAAAATGACTCAACGAAAAGACCTTGGACATCATTAAAGCTTCCGTTATGATGCAGTCGTGTAAAACTATAAATTCATATAATATATATACTATAGATAATATAATATATGTCTAATTAATTGTTTTGTATGAAAAATAGAGATCATTTACTTCTCTTGTCAAAAGTTTAACATATTGTCAAGTTTTTTTTTGGATAAAAAATTTCTTTGTCATATATAATTCTATGTTTTAAAATAAGTCTTTTGAAATATCTTTTGGATTTATTGTACTGTAAATAAAATTTTACTATAGTTCCAGTCCCAGTACGAAGCATAAACTGTTTACGAGAATATTCTAAGTTCATATTATCTGATTTATTCATTTCAATCAGACGACAACCTCTATATTTTAAACATATCTCGACTATTGAATAAACATACTTAGTGAAACAATTTAAGATGCTTAAACTTTAGGACGCTTAAACTTCATATATAATCAAATTTAAGGACCAACAATCAAAACAAATTTTTCGACAGAAACAACATGGTTAATTAAGTTGAGATTACATTCAATGATAAGTTATTTTTAGAATACTCGAATGCATAAATATATTTTTTGAAAATTGCATTTTCTGAAAATTATTAAAGAATTAGTAACAAGTAATCACTTTAATATAAAATTTCAAACTGTCGAAAATGGTCGTATCCAGAAGAAATTAATCTACACTAAACCTTATTAAACAACTTGTCTCTATTACAACAAAAATAAGATGAGAAATGAATCCGATAAATTATCTTTCAAGAAATTTATTAATTTGTGCTATACGTGTATTTTTTTTTTTTTTGAGAACTGTAGAAACTTCGTGCTTTCAAATCCTTTTTATTTTATTTTCATAAGACAATCTTTATAAAAGATAGAGTTTTAAAAAATCGCTGAAGATTTAAGATACACATATATCTATTCCTTTTTTTCCATTAGTCCATCAAAATTCTTTTCGTATTTTTAATGGGTATCAGATTACCAAAAAACAACCCTATGTCAAATGACATAAGAGCGATACAATAATAATAAATTTTATTATATACCATCATATTCAAAGCAATATTTTACGAGATTCTCCATCAAATCTAATAGCATTGTTAGATTTGATCGACAATCATTTATCGAATTCATCTTCACTCAATGCGTTATAATAAACCACCAAGCTAGTGGAGTTATTGATGTTAATGACAATTATAATTAACTACATTCTTCTTCTAATAGTCTTTTGGACACATGACGCTATCAAGGAATGTCATTAGAAAAAATATATAGAACGCTAGCTTTCCGCCCGCAGCTTCGCCCGCGTGGAGTTCGGTTATATCGCTTTTCCAAAAGAACCTTTCAAAAGTCTGGGATAAAAACTATCCTATGTTCTTTCTCAAGATCAACTCTACCTCTGTACCAAATTTCATTAAAATCAGTTCAGTGGTTTAGGCGTGAAAGCGGAACAGACAGACAGACAGAGTTACTTTCGCATTTATAATATTAGTAGGGATATCAAATTGAGTATACTTAGGAAAGTTAGTTATTGATACTAGTTAGTTTGCAATTTGCAATAAATACGTGACTTTTTAAATTTTTCCACCTCTTTGTTATAATGGGTAGCGTATGACATGACCGAATTTGACAGGAATTTTCGGTGTCATTCAACCGGAGTATGTACGAGATTTTACGAATTTCACAACCTCGTGGTTTTCTCTTTGTGAATTGGCACCAAAAAGTCAAAGGTATTTTGGCAAGTTGTCAAAAAATCGTGGCAATAGGTTTTTTGGATTGCTAGTGGTAAAATTCACATGTACTACTCTTGAAAGGGAAAACCAACTATTGGCTTATTTACCATGTAGCAATTTATTGAGTCGGTTCAATTGGAAATTGGCAAAAACATACGCTTTTGTAGAAAGAAAAGTTTTTTCTGTCAGGACACTGAAAATATGCAGTATGACTTAATCTACTATTAATATATCTATTATTAATCTACATATTCTCCAAATTTAGACCGAGTGACTATTTCTTATTCCCAAGCTTGAAAAAATGGCTTGACATGAAGAAAGAAAAATTTATAAATAAAACGCCATTTGGAAGGCTTCAAAAAACATTACTTTTAGAAGGGATAAAAAAAATATGGCATTTGATGTATAGAACTTAAACGATGTTGAAACACAAAGTAATTTTTATTAAAAAAAAATGTTCAAAATGTCTTTCTCTTATAAAAATTCTTATCGATTATCGAAACATAAAATTAAAAATTATATATATAAACAACAATCATACCTTAGCTTTAACTATACAGAAGTAAATGTGTCATACAATTAAAACCTACTATCACAATTTTTGATATATTTGGCTTTCAGAAGAAACGCCCAAAACTAAAATTTAATTAATTTTGTTCCCTGACATTCATGATACGTAAAACTATTGAAATATTTCAACATCATGTAAAATTTCTGAACAATAAATAATTTCTTAATGAGATCAAAATCTTTCTCGACTATTCATTTAAATGAAACTAATATTTTTCATATATACTACGCGTGCTTTATTATTATAAAAACTACATACTCCCGGCGTTTCGATTACTTTTCAGCAATAATTGCCTACCAAAAATATACATAAGGATATCCTAATCCTATAGATTCCAAGTTACTAATGTATCAAGGATAAGTTGAAATACAAATTATATATTAAAAATCCTTTATATTTTGAGTGATATTGAGATATACTTAGTTTTGATTAGGACAACATCAAACTGACTTATATATACATATATATATAAATATATGTGTCCTTGAGACGCCTTTAATCCTAACAAAGGGTCACCTACCCTCGCCGAACCAATCAACATTTTGGAAGAGTACTTTCGTTTTAATAGCGAAGTATAACACGTTTTATTACTCGTAACTTAGATTGTTATATTTTAAGGGTGAGTAAATTTTATCTTAAAATATTGATTTGATTATTTAAAGTTTAAAAAATATATATATCAATTATCATGAATTCCAATAGATTTGGTAAAAACACACTTTTTAATAAAAATGTAACTCTTAAAATGATTTTATATCGATTTTGTTTTTCCTTTTCTTTATCAATCAAATGAAAAGTATCCTATTACCTTTTCCTTGCTCTAAGCTATCTCTCCACCAATTTCCAGTCAAATCCGTACAGTCGTTCTTGAGTTCTAAATAGTGTAACTAACACAACTTTCTTTTATATGTAATATATATAATGCCACCAATATTACTATAAAACCCTTGAATTAGATCCGGGAATGACTAATCTTCATGTAATTTCAGTATATTTCCTTTGGTATAATATATGGTACTTATTGATTTTCACCAAAGAATATTGACACTTACTTACAATAGCATAGAGTCCTTTATTATTTAAGGATTATTTTTAATTACAAATTATAATAATAAACCATTTATTCCTTCCACGAAATAAAAATAAAATAAATTGAAAGTAAACATCTTGTTTACAATAAACACGGCTTAGTACGAAATTGGCAATTAATTTTTTTTGTCATTCCAGAAAGCTTTTTAAACAAAATAGATCGTATAATAATATTTTCAACATTAAAGAAATATTCAGTTATTACCTGAATAAAAAATAAAAGTAGAAGTTAGAAGATCGTAGCCCTGGCAAGTACCAAATTGATTTTTCCGAGTCATATGTACTTTCTAAGAGTATTTAGACATCACTGATTAATGCATTCCCAAAGAGGGTTGATGTCAGGCAGGCGGCCGGTCGTAAAAACAATTAGTCAAAGCCATTCACAACATGTAAAGCAGACCCTGGCTAAAGCTGGGAAATTGCCAGGTAGAAGAAGATAGAAGATCTTAATAAGAATTTTATAAAAAATACCTAATAGAGGCGCCTCTGTTCAGATATGACAGTTAAAGAAAGATTGGTCACCCGACTTAAGATAGGACACAATAGCTTAGTTGTTAAAGCAACCGAAATGCTATATTCTCATGTTACAAGTTCTAATCCTACTCTTGTCAAAGAATTTTTCATTCAACATTTTGTATATAAATTTAAAATAGATTTTAATATATAAAAATGAAAAATCAAAAGGAGAATTTATAATCATAATTGGGGGTCGAATTTATTTTGTTGTACTGTCCGATACTAACTTAACATACCAAATAATTACTTGAAGGAAATTAAGTTTCATATGAAAAAAACCGCATTTAAATCGACTAACCATTAGTTACGTTGTCACATACAGACCCACATACACACATCAAACTTACAACAAACCTTTTTGGCGTCGGGATTCAAAAACCGCATACATTTCAATGACGAGTATAATAACTTTATTTATGACGATACACCAAAAACATTTAAATATTATTAATTACTAGCTTTCCGCCTGCAGCTTCGCCCGCGTGGATTTTGGTTATATCGCGTTTCCAAGAGAACCTTTCAAAAGTGTGGGATAAAAAGTATCCTATGTTTTTTCTCAAGGTCAACTCTATGTCTGTACCAAATTTCATTAAAATCAGTTCAGTGGTTGAGGCGTGAAAGCGTAACAGACAGACATACAAAGTTACTTTCGCATTTATAATATTAGTAGGGAATATCATACATACATACAATCGTCTTTATATATCCAAACTTGTCTTCGACAATTATAATTAAGAAGATAAGAATACAAAAAAAACTGTGTCGACATGAAGGGTGCTACTTCCTGCGACAAGAAACTCAGAGTAACTCGAACAATGAAAGACGAAAGCTTTCATAAAACAAGCCCGGATTCAGTTAATTATGATGAAAATATTTATTAATTGAATTTTTTTATTTAATTTAACTGTCAATTCAATTAAAAATTGAATTTGTCAACAAATGCATACATGTTTTAGTGATAGTATTGTTCATTCTTATTTTGAGTTAAAGTAATAATCATGTATTATTTTCGTCGTAGTTTTAATCTTTAACTTACTTATAAGTGTAAATATTCTGTCTGTAGTAATAATTAAGAAGAATATCATTCCTGCCAAATCCCCAAATCAAAATTTCGTACTGCCTAGGTAATGACTATTTAAATTTATGCAACTAATTACAGGGCGTTTCCAGTTTTTAACATAAAAGTTACTGAATCATAATATCAACGCAGAACTATAAGTTCAACGATGCCAACCAGTACTAAAGAACAAATTCTAATTAACTACCACTACAAAGATCATAGAAATTATATTCTACATAATCTGCACACTATATTCAGCCAATATCCACTAACTATATGACGTACAAGTCACATGAATACAACTAACTGTCAATATCAATTCAATATATGTACTTCATTCAAAAATTAATACCAAATATGCACATCACATACATCCAAAGTCATATAGAATCCATGGATTATGTCACAAATCATGACATATTGTAAACGTGACATAACTGTCAGTGTCAATTTACATTAACGAAAGAAGATTTCCATAGACTAATTTTTTTTATATCATTAATATTCCATTCCTATGCACATTATATTCAGCCAATGTCTCATAATATCTATGAAATGGCGTACCTAGTACGTAATCCTTACCTTAGTGCCTTCAACACTGATGATTCTGTACAGATTACGAGAGGAATCATAGAAGAATGAGACCGAAACAGCCGCTGAACTAGCTGACATCCAAGATCTCTTGGTCTTCGGGTCTATGTGGAACACGTGGGCTTTGCACGTGAAGATAGGCTGCTCTCTGGAACAAACAAACCAACATATATAAGACCAACTAACAGATAAATCTCATCTGTAAATGATCACGGTTGCTGTATTCGAAACGTCGAGAGTATATTGCTAAAAAAATATATATATACAACGCGTAGTAATATGAAAAATATTAGTTTCATTTAAATGAATATTAGAGAAAATCTTAGATCTCATTATACATTATATATATTGATGAATCATATATCATATATATTGTATTAAGCAATATAGTTTTTTTAATTTCTTAGATAAATACCTCTGTATCATTAACACAGATACAAGTAATCACCAGATTATTGATATACCTAGATTTATAATATTATTTGCAACAAAATATTAACGAAATTAAATTCTGTTTGTGTTACGATTGGTTATGCTAATCCATGGTAGGGTACAGTATGCTTACTCCAAGTTTCGTGACATCACCCTACATAAATAGCTTTAACAGTTTGTCATTAATAAATCTTCACATTATATGTAGTATTAACGTAGGTTATTGAGTGAGAAACGTCAAACGCTTCAAAAGTAGTTTGACTTTCCAAGTTTATGCTAAGCATAGATTTAGCAATGTTTCGGTTATCATATCAGTATACACATATACACTAATAACATCTCCTCTTCTACCTGGCAATTTCCCAGCTATAGCCAGGGTCTGTCTTACATGTTCTGAATAGTTTTTATGACCGCCCGCCTGCCTGACATCAACCCTCTTTTGGGAATGCATTAATCAGTGATGTCTAAATACTCTTAGAAAGTACATATGACTCGGAAAAATCACATTGGTACTTGCCCGGGCCAGGATCGAACCTGCACCCTCATGCATGAGAGGCGGACCTTTTAACCCCTAGGCCACCACTTACTACACATATACACTAATAACATATAAATTAATAAAATTACCAAATATAATGGGGATACATCATAGGTTGTTCATGTTATATGAAATTAATAATAATGTAAGTTATACATATTAAGAATTATTATATTTTTAAATTAAATTCTTATATTTATTCATTTAAAATTTAAATGATAATCTTCTGTAACAAAGTCTGCTTATACAAAATACAACTGAGTTAAAACATTCGTAATAAACAATTTATGTTATATATTATTACAAGTTCAATTCCAGCTAGTGTTTATGTATATTTTATTCAATTTTGAATTGAAATAAAACAATGAAATTCTCATTAATAAGTAAACAACTCAAATAAAAATTTCATTCATTAATTTCATTAAAACATTTGTCAGAAACACTCAAGGATGAGAATATGTAAAGAAATATAATTTTTCATGAATTCTATTAGAAAAATGATTTATTTATTTGTTATACAAATAAATGATGTATTCAATAGCTAATTCAAAATATATATCTTCATACAATATGTATTATTATGGAATCAATTTTTACTGCCAAATCTATTGCATGTTTGATATAACATATATCTGTTGTTAAATTATACACTGTAAATGGGTCACTTTATCTGAATGTTGTGTCGAAATATAAATTTTATCTAGAACATATATATACAGGGTGACTGGTGAATTACTATCAATATTTAAGGAGAATACTCGGTACGTGATTCTCATTCGAATTATGTAAAAAAAATAGGTACTTAATTTTTGACAAAAATTCCGTATAAATAAATAAAGTGTGTACACGTTCCAAGTGTTCCAAGTGTGGCCGCGTGCGGCGGCGTGCTGATACAACACTATGCCGCCGCCGCGTCTGTGTGAGTGTGTGTGTATACCTAATCTGTAGGGTGTTCACACGATGCGTAATTAATTACATAACTTTTGGTTAACTTTACTTAGAAGTTTATTAATATTTATGTTATATTAATTTTTATTTCGTCATATATGATCGTCAAATATCACGTCCTCAAGTATCGATAGTAATTCACCAGTCACCCTGTATATATGTGTGTGGTTTGGTATTCAAATAATATTGTTTATAGTAAAGAAACTTTTAATACTCAGTACTCAGTAAAATAAGTCATATAATTATGAATCATGAGTACATTCATACTATTTCATATACACAATTTTATTATGACTTTATGTACTAATTGAAATTACAAAAAACATAGAATTTTGTAAAAAAAATAATTTTAACATAACACACAAGTAAAAATATTCATTTTCATACCTTTTGTTACAATCAGGCATGTTTAAAAACTAAGCCGTGAGTAATTTACATAAATGTAATATTCATTCATATCTTTGCAAAAACACTTAATATTCTTATTTGAATTATGTATATGGAATATATTTAAAAACTCTATATATTTAACAATTTATTTCATTATATGTAAGTAGAAACCAAAACAATATGTAGTTGACTCAGATAGATTATGGTTTTTATTTATCTTTAAAATCCATTCATCTTAAAGTATTTTTTCCCTTATAATCTATATATAGAGATATATATATATTTGAAAAATGTGCTTAAAAATGATATATAAATCTTACGTTTTTTCCGTTTGAGAATCCATTTCCATTTGAAACACACAACACTTGACCAAAACTAATAAAATGTAGTACTAAGAAATATATATTTTCAAGATACAAAAAAATTTAGGTGTTATTTCTGATAAGATATACACACATGATTGATAACTTATCATTCTGAGATGAAGATATTGCATATATATGCAATATATTATACAGGGTGACTGGTGGATTACTATCAATATTTAAGGAGAATACTCAGTACATGATTCTCATTCGAATTATGTAAAAAAAATAGGCACTTAATTTTTGACAAAATTTCCGTATAAATAAATAAAGTGTTGACACGTTCCAAGTGTTCCAAGTGTGGACGCGTGCGGCGGCGTGCTGATACAACACTACGCCGCCGCACGCGTTTGTGTGTGTGAGTCTATACCTAATCTGTAGGGTGTGCACACGATGCGTAATTAATTACATAACTTTTGGTTAACTTTACTTAGAAGTTTATTAATATTTATGTTATATTAATTTTTATTTTGTCATATATGATCTTCAAATATCACGTCCTCAAGTATCGATAGTAGTTCACCAGTCACCCTGTATATGTACATTTTAATATATTTATTAACATAATAAATATATACATTTACATTCATTCATATGTAAAATTATACATGATTCATATTTTTAATTTGTAATATTTATTTAATAATCAAAATTAAATGAATGAAGATTTTTTATGGTCGTAATAAGAATTGTACTAATTAGAATATATATTTTTTCTACACTTTATCAATTAAACAGAAACTATAATGAATTGTACATAGTAAGTTAAAAATGTATTTTTTTCAGAATTGTCATGTATAAGCTTTAAAAAATATATCCCCATATAGACATTTTTATGAACACCAAATTAAAATATACTACATTACTATACTATTACTTCTATACTATACTACAACTATAGTAGTAACATAAATACAATTTACAAGTATCCATTTTTGGTTTTCAATAATTAATCTATCACTAATTGGATATGTATATGTATATGATGCCTACATTGAAAATAAGGTTGTTAAAATTTTTTCTGCCTATCTGTTTGTTCTGCCTATATCTGCAATGGCTTAACGAAATTTGATAGGAATTTCAGACAGGTAATATTATAAGGAGTGGCTTAAGATATTTATAAACTGATTTCACAAGGAAAATCCTCAATCTAGCTAATGTATGTAATATTACAGCTACAATGCAAAAATAGTTGTCAAAAATATAGTTTTACATATAGGGCATTGAACTGAGTTACTTCTGTTGACATTAAGACACGACTGGAGGTTGAATTCATTGAGAAATCAAATCAAATCTCATTAAGATGTTGACACATATGTCAGAGGGTAAAATATGCAAAGCGGTACATATGAAAAAGGTGATACATTTTAATTTACTTACTATATACAATGATAGTAAGTTGTATTTGAGAATCAAAACATGAAATAAACTGAACGAGAAATTGTAGAAATATCAGCTTTCTACAAAACAGACTATTTATACACAAATATGATTTCCACAATATTTTTAAGTATTTCTGCCGTGTATAAATGCTATGTCACATGATTTTAATATTCAGTACTGTAAAAGATACTCAATTAACTAGACCCTTGCTATTATAGTCTTGTTCTTTCACACCTACTTAATAAGGTGCTATTCAGTAACAACATATTTGCACCATATTATTTTGAATATTATCTCAATAAATTTGAATTATTAACGACAATTGATAATCAATAAATGTCAAATTTTAACTGATAAGTTATCAATAACAATAACAAACGTGCTATCGGAAAAATTGTATGAAGGTTTAGAAAAAATTAACTAACTTTAATTATAAAGAAAAATACGCTTACAAATTTACGAGGGTAGTAGAGGGTAATTATTTCGTCGTCAGTAGCCCATGAAAGTTTTTAAGGCTATTAATTCGCGCGTAAACAGAAATCATTCGAGTATAAAATATATATAAATAGCGACGACCCCACCGTCCCTAAGCGACCTTATTGCCACGAGCGTCTAGCGTTCAATCGAATGCAATCAATTCTCTTAGCTAATCCAATCCACTACGGAAATTGCGAAATATTCATAGTATATATAATAATTATACCATTGATATTAGAAATAAATGAAATAGCGGCGTTCAAAGAGATGTTTTATTTTAACAAATCTCTTCTATTTATATAGAAAATCTAAAATATCCCTTCGCATTGGTAAAGTGCATCCCCTCCCTAAAAATATCGAGATTTGAGAAAAATTCATATTTTGCATATAATATATGACATTTAATATTTAATTATTTTAAAAACGATAAAGGGGTGAATAATCTTCACACTTACCCCATGGTTTCTCTTCCTGCTGTCATTTAAACACAATAAATAGGAAAGTATCCTACTTCATAATTCTCAATTTTCCTCACACAACTGTCACGCAGCGGTCCAGCCATAAACTAAAGAGTAAAAATGAGACAATGTTACCATCAATTTAAAATTAATGCATCCATAGACATTTTCTTAAATAATATTATTACTTCTTTAATAAAATAAAATAAACATTTTATTTTGAATTGAATAAGTTCTCATTATAAACAAATAAAATTTTTAATTGTTTTGTGATAAGCCCTCTATTGACATAAATTGGTAGTATAAAATTATTACACCTTTTTCTATTGGATACTAGATGTCGCTTACAATGAAACTTCTGAAATAAAAATGGCTAAATAACACAGGACTAATGAAGTATTATAAAACTTATTGATTGATTATAATGAAAATCAAAAAACTATTTCGTGTGAAGATCGAAAATTATCTAAATTAAATATGTAAATACATTCAAGGAAGTAACCTTGTGTAATGTGTAACTTTAAATACATAATTAAGTTTTTTAGTAAAAAATATATAATTGTAACTCAACAACATATTTTAAATTGATACTTTTTCTGAACCTAAAGATACAGATTATATTTAATTTATCTTAAACAAAATTTTGCTGAAACATTGTGAACAATCGGGGCAATGAACAAATAATTACAATATTAAAAGTAATTGTATCAATAAATCTGGTAAACATGATTGATTGATAATAAACTAATTTTTTATAGTTCAATGACTTCCATTCAAATTATGCAATTTTAATTACAATATTACAAATAAATTTTAGCGATTTTAACTGAAACTACACTTTTTATGCAATGGCAACCCTTTACTAGTCCGGCGTCTTAACAGATATGGTGAAAGTGAATGTGTTACATAAAAATTTTAACATCTCAAGGGGCAGATAAAACCATTTATATGAAACAAATAATAATAAAATTATGATATTAATTTGAATAATTAATTTCAATTTTAACTAGATTCTTTTAAACTTGAAAACTCAAATTTTTTCGCCGTTAGAATTTTGATATTAAAATATTTTCAATTCGTTTAAGTATGTAGGTATTGTAAAATTAAAAATAATATATGCATTTATTGCTTAATACTATTCTTCTAGATGTTGCCTCCTCTTAAGATCGTAATTACAAAAATGAACAAAACATATCCGTCTTTACGAAAGTAATTGTATCATGACATAATACATCTCTTGTTTTGGTGGAATTGTAACGTTTTAATACAGTTCTGTTTTCCGAATTCACTTACACTTTCATAAATTTAACCAGGTTTATTTGTGTGTTTATTTGATTTTATTTATATTAATTCACATATATAATTGTCCTAAAGTTTTTTCGTAAATTTCTATTAAATATTTTTGTTTTTTTTTGTAGGTATATTAAATTAAAACTAAGAAATATTTCGAACTTATCAGCTAAGTTGCTCCCGTAAAGAAGCGTACATACTTTTATATTTGTTATTTTGAACTCACTCGAAATGAGTAAATGGAATGTTAATATAAAGTTTTAACTTATTTTATTCGTATTACGTTAAAATTGTAGGTTTGAAGTAAACGTATATTAGCACGTTCTTGGTAAGAATAAGAGCTCCACTTGTAGAACTTCTTTCGTTTTAGGTACATATACTTTAAGCTTTAACAGCCTGTCAGAATTAGAAGATTCAAAACATCGTACTGTAGGTTCTATACTATATAATTCTAAATTCATCATGATTATATATATATATATATTATAATATATTAATCTATGTCAGCTACATATTTGTCATTTTATAACCAACCAGTCATTTGCATGACGCATTACGCAACTTTCATTTCACAAACATTTCACAAAGTCTGCTCCGGATAAAGTAACAGAAAAATACATATTTTATTAATTTCTTTTAAATTAAATTGATAATAAATTTATTGAGTTTCGGTACATCGATTTTATTATGGATGATGACATCTATTGTCAAATAGCGACAACGTAAATATGTAAAAAAAAATGTTTAAAGTTATCAATTAAAAAATAATCTTTTGTTTTAAATAACAGAAAATAAAAACTGTATAGGAACTTACAATAATTATTCACAATTCTTTCTCTAAAATCTTTTTTTTATATTGTATATATAATCGAAAGAAAGTAAAACTGATTTCAATCTTGTCAGTAAAACAATTGTTTGAAGATTATTATTGGTCCATAACATTTTATTATGACTTTAAGTTAGTAGTATTAGTTTGTTTTTCAATATCTTCTATGAAAATAAATGTAATAACGTTATTTTATCCGTTTTGATCAAACTTAGTCT